TAACATTTAATGTACCATCTTTTTTACGCAAAGCGCTCAATAGTCTACTTAATTAACGCGATGGGCTTCTCTCTATATTTACAAGTCAGCTCAGGAAGTGCGAAGCTGATTCTTCTTTCAGTGTGTTTCCGGCTAGTTAAACGTTATAAAACGCAATGCTGCCCTCTAATGTCACAAACCAATGCTAGATATTTTGAGAGTACAACGTCATAGTAACAATTATAAGACCTTGGTAACAATCTCTTATTTGTCCGTGAGAGGAAATTCGATTTTAAATAATATGCGAGTTGTTCTTACTTGGCTAAAATTGTTTAAACTAAACTGCCTTCTATAATACAGACCGGGAACAACCGGGTGCAAGAAACCCAGCAGCCATATGCCACTAGATGGCAGCACTTGGTTCTGTACAAAAACAATGCACCACCAGTTGAGTAGTTTTTGCTTTTTTATGGTTTGTATCTTGTCTTGTCTTATCTTGTCATATAATGTGGTATAGTTTGTTTAAAAAAAACACGAGTGTACAGATGTTATCTTACTTTGTGTTAAATGTCGACAGTACTGTTTTAGATGTGTATAACAAAGTGACAAGTGGTAAAAAGGGAAGTACAAGATAAGTGTTAACAGCGTTGAGTTAAAAAAAAGTGGCGTATGTTTGGACACCGTCTTCGACATAAAGAACGAGGACAGTAGTTTTGAATTCTTTGTTCTCAAACTTTTATTAGTTCATTAGTTCTGTTCCGATATGTCAAACAATGTAATTTATTAATGACCAAAAATAAGTATGACAAAAAAATCATTTAAAAACAATTGGGTTTAAACAAAGTTTTTTACATTCAGTTTGTAAAGTTTATGAAAAAGAATTAATGTTCTGCTCTGGTTCAATCAATTACAGCTTTCTGATTATTTCTCATCTTAAATAGAAAAGTATCTATCTGTACTTTCCTTACAAAAGTCAAAGTCTAAAGTTGAAGAACACTCACACATCCCTGAGATCTGGATAAACAAATCATAAGCCACAGAGCTAACATGTCACCCAGAACTCTATTATGTAACACGCAGTACAGACATATAAACCTTAGCATTCTTTTTTTTTTAAGAACTAAAAATTAAATCAAATAATCATTTTGGAAATTTAAAATGTTCAGGAAAAACTTTGTTTGTGGTCTCCAGTTCTGTCAAACATTAACACCTTAAAGAACTGATCTACAGGTAGATTTTATTTCAAAGAAATTTCAAAGAGCATTTGTATTTTTAAAACATCAGTAGTACAACTTTATTTTTATAGTTTCTATGCCCATTAGCTCAAATCTCTCTATGACTGTTAGCTGTAAAAAAAAGACCAAAATAGATCAAAAACTTAATTTAACCTTTACCACACTTAACTACAACTAAACACTAACCATCGCAAGAAAAAAAAAAATCATCAAGTTGCATTCAAATGACAGAAAGGGCTTCATCTGCTGCTGCATCACCTTGTAAAGGTAAACGTATGCCTGTAGTGAATACACAGAGCTGTCTCTAAGAGGTTCTGACCACAGTGGTCAGCAGCACTTTACAACTTTCCATTAGTAGCTTTCTCCTAGAAAAGACTCAACGTTCCTACACTACTGCTCAGCTCGGGGTAGCCTCATGCATGCTGTTACTTCAGCAACATCTCTGTGTGTCCAGGTTTTTCTGGCCTTCTGACCCAAGGTTTTTATTAGCAAAGATCCAGAACAGACTTGTTGATCACAGGGTTGGTCCAGTCGTTTCTGAGATCATCCAGGTGATTGTCAAAGTCAACCAGATTCTCATAGGATCTGCCCTCCAGCAGGGCAGATGTGATCTTTTGAGCCTCACCCCAGTCTTCAAATGTCTCACTATAACAAAGACAATGACAGATTTTGTCAGAGTTTATAAAGACAGCAAAGAATTGACAGTTTTCTTTTTTGCAAAAGTTGCATCATGAACAGTGTCACACACTTACGAAGTCACTTCTCTGTTTTTCCACTTGTTTTCATGATGATCGTAAATAACCACAATTGGCTCATAACAGCCGATGGTCAATCGACCACTGTCCACCTGATGGAAGAAACAAAAAATGACAGGATTGCTGTAATGTGTTCACTTTTTTGTCAGAACCAATACACTTAATACTTAAGTGAATCGATTTTTGCACATTAAACCTTTGGTTTTTATTTACCATAACAATTGCTGTTTCACTGAAGTTCTCACAAATCCTGGCAGCAACCTTTTCTGCTACCTGGTTAGGTCTGCAAGAGAGGGGATGAAGAATTAAATCAACTACACACTTGTTACATTTTTGGGGTCTTAGAGCCATCTTTGGTTCTTTACCTAGAATCCTTTGTGCGTTCATTGGCTTGGTAATATCCAGCCAAGACATAATTGTTTTCTTTGCACCAGGTATCAATCTGAAGGAAAGGCATTGGGTAACAGTAAATTTGACTTGCAGCATAATTTGTCGTATATGTTATTCTCTGAATTTTATCCTAGTGTAGTTGCTGATTAATTAACTGATCCTTAATTCCCGAAAGTGAACTTCGAAGTGATTAATTCAGTTATGTCTAATCGAATCGAATCTTGCGTCAAAGGTGCCAATAATCTGGAATAAAGTATGTATACGACTCTTACCATAGTCAAAGCTACTTCCAGCATCGGTGCTAGAGCCAGAGTACCGTGGAACAGGGGGACACAGTCCACACAAAGGATCGGTTCACTGTGGTCCCTGTCCTTTTTCTTCTCTTTAGTCTTCTCTGCTACCAGCAGTCCATTCACAGCGTAGTGAGGATACTTAGCTGCATGTAAGAGCATCTTACAGTACGCCTGGCTGGTCAGTTGAATTGGCATTTTCATTCGTTCGCCGGCAAAATCAGAAGGGAAAAAAGGGACAGAGCTCAACTGTCACGGAGTCGCTTCAGGCTGACGAAAACCTGGTGCTGCTGCTGTTAGCTTTCCTACTGGTCATGCCGACCAGAAAAAGTACATTTTCTTCTCTAAGTAGCCGTAATATCGCGATATGTTTTCCAACGCACGTCTTACGTGGAGTTTTTCTATGTTTATGATCAAATCATTGCATTTACGCCTCTTTTTAATTATGTCACTGATTATATTTAATGCTATTCCTACTTCCACCTTAGACTCGTTTTCACCAGCGCCGGTGGTGCCGTAAGTTAAACTGAAGGGTCGTAAAGCAATATCATTTTCCGTCAAGTGTTCTTTTTTTTTCTTCCGTGGTAAGCGTTGCCAATCATTAAGCGTCTTTATAAATAGAACATCAACTATCAATCTGAACGCATAGCTCGTTTTATACAGTTGAAAAAATAATTTAAAAAAAATAGTGAGATCACATACAATATGTACAAATACTTAAATATATGCTCCAATGAACAAACATGGCCATACCTTGTGTACTTTGATAACATCTGTGCAGCATGTGAACGAAAAGGGGTCTTAAAAGAAAAGACATCAATAGCAAAGAATTAACAACTGTAGAAATAATCAAGATAGTAGACACGATTTCTATATTTCTAATATGGGGGTTGCTTTCTGTGTTTGTGTATGAAGAATAGAAAAAAAAACATTGAAAGAGTCTTTTTGTGTTACCAAAAATAACTAACAAATTACGACAGCTTTTTCGATACCTCAATTTTATACATATTGTGATTTAGGTTATTAGAAACTTACAATTCTCAATGGTTGTTGTTTCACTGTAAGCTGGAAATAAAATGGATTTCCAGTCATAACAGTTATTGGAATAGATAGATAGAAAAGTCATTAAAGACATCAAGGACAAATCAAAGAATCGATAGACAGTAATTATATTTAGTTTTAAAGCAGAGAAAACATATTTTTGTGTAATTGTTTTGGTTTTAATACAGGTAACCGCAAGGGCAACATAAACTGCGTACTTCCTGTGTGTTCGTCACTTCCTTCCTTCGGGACCGTCGCCGTTGTGAGCGAGGAAGAGAAAGTAGGTCTTATTTAATTTTTCGATGCTATTTTTCTTGCCTTGTAAAATGTAAACACAACAACACGCGTCTATTGTGTGTTGACTGTATAGGCCATAAGCCCCGTATCTTAAAATTTGATTTTAGAAGTTTAAAGCCGGGTTGTATCAGTGACTTTGTCGGCGGATGTGCAAGCTAGGACAAGCTAATAATTCGTCGGCTTTTAGCACAACGATCGTCATCTCGCAGGCATTGGACATGTTAAACCTTGCGTTATTATTTTTAACAATAAGTTATTAAATGGGAGGACTATTAAGTTACTCGGTCATCGGCAATGCAGTCTAAAGTTTTGCTAGTGTTTTCTTGGCCGCAATGACCTTGCGGCAGCTAATGCTAGGGATAACCTAGCATTACCACGTAGCGCTAGGACGTTGAATCTCAACACCAAAACAACGGATGTCAGAATGTGAAACGATACAGTACTGCGAATAACATACACATACCCACATAAAATTGCCCCACACATCCCGACAATGTTAAAAGTACGAATCGATACGTTTTTCGAATTAGGTTAACTGGAATTGAACTTGTCCATGTCAGTTTTAAAAAGGTGACTATTTATCGACGTTTGCAGTAAGAACGATTGCACAAAATGTTGATTTTTGAGCCTTAATCACTAAATAGTTAACGTTATTAAATGTTTTATTTTGCCTTCGACCACAGAAAAGCAGTACAAGGTTGAAGGGGAGTAAAATTCGAAACTTGAAATCGTAAAACTTACAAACCTTTATTAACTTGTGATTTATAATGATTATTTTATTATTACCACATTTTAGACGTTTAGAACACTTGACAGATGTCTAAATAATTAATAAATACTTGAAATATGCCCACATATTTGGATTTCATGTTTTTGTCCAACGGGACAAAGTTTTCACAAGACAATTTATCAGTTGAGTGGCTAAATAAGTTTATTTTTTTAAAATTCTTCATTATTACAACAATTCAGTAGATTTATCAAATATTTTAAACTATTAGAATCGTTGTGTAATTGTTTGTTACTAAGTTGGAATATATTTGTCAAGATGTACGTTTATATATGCCTTTTCTGTTTTTGACTACAGAATGCTGGCCACTAGAGCCCTCCGTCTCATTGGCAAACGTGCCATCTCTACATCCATCTGTGCACGAGGTGGACATGGTATGGTGGACAGGCTGAGCTCCTCATATATGTATAAATGAAATGTTGAGGCCATCTTGTTAAAAGATAAATAAATTAAATAAAACCACATGTGATTCTCCCCCCCACAGGTGTCGCAAAGGTAGAGGCTTATAGCCTTCCGTCCTACATTGACACTACTGATTATCCTCTGCCAGACATCAGCTATGTGCAGGACCTGACTGCTGTGCAGAAGTCCCTGAAGGAGAAGGAGAAAGGCACCTGGACTGCTCTCTCCAATGAAGAGAAGATTGCATGTAAAATCTTAAACTATTATAATCTTTTTAACTTTTATATTTAAACTTTTTTATCCCCTGTTTTTGACAGAATGTTGATCTTGTTAATGGCTTACTTGGTTTCCTATTTCAATTTGTAACACATTGTCCGTGTGTTTTCTTTATGTTCAGTGTACCGCATCAGCTTCAAAGAAAGCTTTGCAGAAATGACTCAGGACTCAGCTGAGTGGAAGACTGTGCTTGCAGGCTGCCTGTTCTTTCTGGGCTTTTCTGGAGTAGTTGTGTTCTGGCAGAGGAAATTTGGTAAGTTGTTATCTTTTAAGTATAGGACCTATTGGAGCAATTCGATTTGACATGAAAACTTCAAAATCGGGTGCCAATTTATCGTGCCTTCTGAAATATGCATTGCTTTGTTTACAGTGTTTGGCCCTGTGCCACACACATTTGACCCCGAGTACAAACAAAAAGAGCTCCAGAAGATGCTGGACATGAGAGTCAGTCCAGTGGAGGGCTTCTCCGCTAAATGGGATTACGAGAAGAAGCAGTGGAAAAGTTAAAAGAAAACAATGAGGACCAGTAAACATACTTGAATGCAGACCAATTCAAAATCTACGAAAACATTCATTTCTGTATTTATCAGACTTCAACTATACCTCAGTTTGTGCATTTGGAAGACCACTTCCCCTTACAGTCATTGTGTATTATAAAAAAAAAATAAAACTTAATAAAAAAACAAATTTGTGTTGACGTGATTTCTGCTTAAAGTGATTTCAAGACAAGAAAACGTTGTCCTTGTTGTTGCTGACTGTTATTGCTAATGTTAACAGTGTAATCATGGATCAAACGGTAAGTTTTCTCCACAGATGTACACTGAACCTTTAAGAACAGTTTACAATAAGCTTCAAGTCCTTGTCTGATCTTAAAACCTTTTTGACCTTGTTAAGGCAGGAAAACATTCTACACGTGACCGAAAGAAAATGGAGACCTCCGCCAAATATCTCTGTTCAATCTGAGAAATGACCTAAGAACAAATCATGTAAGTAACGAGCTGGACAAACCATTCTTGTCTTTGTCTTTCTTGTGTATTTCTGATCAATCCTAGTAGTCAAGGTCTTTTTTCTACAGCAGGGGTTCTCAAACACAGTTGAGCTAAGGGCCACAGTAGTGTTTTATATTCAATATACAAAAACTCAATTTAAAAAAAAGTATCGTAGTTTAATATAAAAACTACACACTGTATCACTATGGTGCAAATGGCTTGTATAAATCTCCAGTTATTCCAAATTCTACTGTCCACACCAACTTCTTGTCAACCAGATCACATAATCCTCAGTAGTATTAGAACTAAGCAACACAAGCCAGCAGTTCTAGTTGCCAAGATTCATACCCCTAAGGAAAAGTGAGTTAAGACAAACTGAAAAAGTCCTAAATTAATGGAAACAACAAAGTTGTTTCTCTGCATATTGGCAATTTAAAGCCAAACTCAAAGAAGAAAACAAACCCAGTTCCTTTTAAATGTTCTTTCTGTTTAGAGTAAAGAGACTGATATGATGGACCTAGATCAAAACCTGTTGCAAAGCTATTTAAACATTTTCACAGTTTTATATATAAAACCTGTTGCAAAGCTTCTATTATTTAAACATTTTCACAGTTTTATATAAATTAAAGTTTGATGTTTGCGCTTATTTCAAAATTGTTCATTTTCAGCCAGCTATCCAAGGTTTTCCTGCCACACTGTTCACCTTTTTTGGTGGAATCCCTAAGCGTTCCCAGGCCAGCCAAGAGGCATAATCCTTCCATTGTGTCCTAGGGCTTCCCCTGGTTTCCATCTGGGCAGAACCTGGAGTTGTCTTCAGTGGATGGCCAGGCCACCTCGTCTGGTTTGTTTTGATGTAGATGAGGTGAATGAGGGTTGGCCATGTCAATCAATGGGTAAATTGAGGGCCTTGTTTTAAAAATTAAATTCCAACAAACATCCTTTTGGCACATTGGAATTTTGAATTTATGTTGATGTGTATTCAAATAAGATTATTTTTATTGCAAAAAAAAATCTATTTTTAAAATGGTCTTATTAACCAAATATTCACAAACACCTGCAGTACTTTGACGGACCCCGTAGGTGTCGCGCACCCGTTGTTGAAGACATTACAGTAGCGTCTTGCAGCTGCGTATTAGAAGTCACGTTGGGGGCTGAGGGCGATACCAGGTAACGTCACTTACCGGAAGAGCGCCGGCAGCTGCTGAAGTTGTTTCACGTCAAAACAATCCGGAAGACGTTGCACTGTGTCCGAATAAACTGTAGCTGCAGTTCGAGGGCGGCATTGACACACGTTTACATATCACTGTGCTGCTGTTTTATTTTACAGTAATTAATGTGGTTGGATGAGGAATCTCCAGCGGGACATACGCAGTGAAAATCTGTGTCCCACTCCGAAAGCGTCCGAAAGCCTCCGAAAGCAGCCTCGTGTTTCAGTCTGAGTTGATGTAAACATCAGAGCTGAGTTGCTGCTGTTCACACTAGACCCGCCTGAGTCATCATGGGCAATGGAATGAATAAGGTAGGCAGTGATTTATTCATTTGTTGATGTTATTGAGATTGTTTTTTGTTATTTTAAAATGCTAGTAGCTTTGACATTAAGCTACTGATGTCTCACAGTGAATGTTATGACAGAATGAAATAAACAGACACAGCACGTAATCCATCCTGCTATCCATGAGTACCATAGCACAGTGACTCCTGACCTTCAACCTTTGAACTCAATGTACTTATAAACGAGTCAGGGGACATTTGAAGATACATTTAAATACATCTCAGTAAGCTGAAATTACATGCAAAATTATTTGACCTGTGCCTTGATAAGGGTTCACCCATCTGGACACTGTGAACCCTGATGCATGTGCATTACTAAGAAGGCCATGTTTAACCACAAACACAGAAACATCAACTGTGTTCAGAACTCTGTTCTCTGGTAACTGGTATTGTAGCTGCTGACTCATTAGTACTGTTTTTTTTTTTAAATTGACCTTTTGCTTAATGCTTTGTGGTCAATTTCACAGTATTCAACATTCAGTGCACAGTGTTGATAACATGGGGCTGGTCATTGCATTTAACATCTTTGATAAAGACACACAAATGCTGCAGTCACATGTATTAATGCAGCATTAAATGGGATATCATAGAAAAACAGGAAAAGAAAAAACCCAATAGTTGCAAAATTTGGCAAGACAGTGCAAGGAAAGGGACAGTCAGTCTAGAAATATTAACTTTTTTTTATTGTTTTGAATTGTGATTGAGGTGTTGTAGTCGCTATTTCTTTGCCCTATTTCACTGCCCATATGGCATACGAGTAGAACATACGTAAAAAACTAAATATAATTTTATATAGTTTCTGTTTTATATGCAGGATTGGCATCACACCCTGTAGCCACTAGATGTCGCTAAATTCTTCACACTACACCTTTAAATGAACCTCTTAGCAAATGGCTCATAGATGAAGGAGCAGCTTCAATAAAATGTCTCCACGAGTTCTGAACAAACATGTGGTTTATCTGACCAGAATATATGACCTCACTCTGTAATTGGAAACCCTGACAATCTGAAGACTCAGTCTAATAATAACCTCAGATGGACTGTGAGCTGCAGCTGAAACACTGGGAAGATACGCCCCTGGCTAAATGTTTGGAAGGACATTTGTCCAAAAAAGATCATTGTTTCATTGGTGTATTCCACACCAAAAGAATCAGCCTTTAAAATAACAGACATTTAATTACCAAGGTTTGTGTCCTGTCTAATCACATCTATGCCATTGAAAACCTGAATGCTCTGTTGCCTCACACCTTGTATGACTGCAGAAAATCCTTCCTCTGCTCCTACCTCGTTCTTATAATCCTTAAACCTTAAATCCAATCTGGTCCACCCACATCACCTTGAGTACTTTCTGAAGTCACAGTGCCAGGAATGCTTAATCTGAATATAACATGTCTGTATCTGCTGCTTCACAGGTCATCGATGGGCTCTACCTGGGGAATATAAGAGGTAGAATCTGAATTAATCAGATTTAGTTTTTTATACTGTATCCTTTACTGTATGTTTATGTGTTTGTTTTAGGCTGTGATTTTACTGCAAGGAATACAATACCACAATAAGTAGATGAATTATATGTATTTCTGCTAGGATTTTTAATATGTCTCTCACACTGTATGTCCAATAATTCCTCTACAAGCCGCCGGCAAAATGCACAGTACTGCTGGTCAATGTGTAGGTTCTCTGTCATGTACTCTAAAGCAGTTCCCGTAAGTAGAGGACAAGTGGACTGTTTTGTTACCCAGGTGACGTGTCACCCTTTCATCCATCCATGAGTTGCATCCATGTACCTAATTTCTGCTGCTGAGACTCACAGTGTAAATTTCTCTCTTGTGGGACACATAAGGGACTCAATTATTATTATTATTATTATAAAGAGAAAATTCAACAGATGATAAACGCAACACTCTCCATAGCCAATTAAATGTCGTTCACAAATTTATGTAAAAAAAAAAATGAACTAATGACCACATTAGTTTATAAAATCTTCACAAAGATAGAAGAGATGTACTACACACATTACACCAGTCACTAGTCCAGCTGTCTCTACTTAACGTGGCATGGACTGTGTTCTGTTTTTAGCTTCAGCCAAAATGGATTCACATTATGGCACAAATATCCTGGTTAAAAATAGCTCCACTGACAGGGGTAAATGAGCACAGGTTGAACTAACACCAAGTGATGTCTGAGAACAGTGAAGCGTTCACTGACCAGTATGTGCAGGGACTGACCGTAGACGTCCTCCGAGCTACTCTTTTGTTGGTCCTCATGTGAAATGCCAACGTGACGTCATTTCTTCCTCTATGTCTTTCTTTGTCTCAGATTCGGAAAACAAAGAAAGTCTGTCCAAGAATGGCATCACCCACATCCTGTCTGTGTACAACAATGCTAAGCCTGTGTTTGAGGTCAGTGCTCTGTCCAAGGATGGACAGCAGGTTTGATGCTGTAGGTCTGGTTTTTCATGGCAGTTTGTGGATATACCTGTTCAGATACTATAATCAATACTCATGCAGATTTTAAATTACAGTTATAAGTAAGTAAGCAAGTACCTGTATTGGACAAGGTACTTCATTCAAATACTTTGTTTTTTAAGTAGGTCAACTATACCAGCAATCAATACCGTTGTCTCTTAGTTAAACAGCAGAGTGAATAGATGAGGTGTTTACACCTCAACAAGTCTCTGTTTGGTTAATACTGAATTTTTAGGTTTATTTTCAGGTAGTGCTTTTTTTTTACAGCAAAATGGTAAACTGTTCTCATATTTTCTTTAAAATAAATTGCACACTGTGATATTTGCGATTCTGCGGTGTAATGCGACGTAAGGACCAGCAGAGGGTGGTGATGAGTTATTGTTGAAACCAGAAAGAATTGCGGAAGAGAAGGTAGTTGAAATGTTTCTCAGTAAAAAAAAAAATGCTTTAAGTCAAACTCTAACCACTGAAAATCTGCACTCTAACTCAGAGTTGATGATATTATGAAAAAAAAATTGATTCAAGTTTTATTTTTACAGACATTTTACAAGTTGAAGTAATTTATGGTCATTTTTTCAATAACTGTCATCTATTACCAAAACTGATTGCACTTGATAGCATAATGTTAAACGTCCCAATAATGGTATTTTTTGCTATTTAAAAACAACCAACATTTTATTTTTTTTAAATTAATCTTACATTTTATATTTAAATGAAGAAATCTCTAAAAGCACACATATGATTTTCCTAATTTTGAGAAGTGGGAAACCACGACAAGATTAGATAAAAATACATCTACTTATCTCCATAACACCATCAGTCCCAGAGGTGACGTGAACCTACCTTAATCTAACATTAGGCAACAGGCAAAGGCCGTTTCCTAATTCATCGTCTGCAACTGTTAATGGTCAAATTTGCTCCCCCCCTGGTCCAGCTATATCTGACCTATTAGTTCATTTAAAATCCTGATTCATGTACGACAGATGTCAGTCATCACCAATGTCAAAAAAACAAGATATATATATATATATATATAACTGAATGGTGTGAATCAAACCAGTTGTCACCAGTCTGTATTGTGTCTGTTCACCCTCACCACCTCATACCTAATTTAACTTTGACTATAAATAATCCACCCCCTCTACTTTTCACCGAACCACAATTAAACACAGATGAACTTCTCTTTTCAAAGAAAATGATTTTTTTTATTTAACTATTTTAGTCTGTCTGTCTTTCCATAAACTGTTTTGCAGCATGTAGCAAAAATGTTTTTTTGTTTACATCATCTTTACATCATCACCAACTCATATTTCTGACCATGATTTAGCAATGCATTCTAGTGACTTGTCATTGTTTTGCCATTAATTTATTTCCCAAAAACTAAACCTTTCACGCTCATTCAGAATGGACTATTCTGGAAAATCATGAAAAATTTTGGCCACGTAGTAACTTGATTATTGTGTTCCCCGAACAATGATGAGAACCTTGCGTCAGTATTTTACCAAAACACCTAGTGATTTAATGTTAAGTTACGACCATGGGTATCATTTCACATTTTTACATGAGAAATGTGTTGCTGCCGATGTGTTTTCAACGCGGATTGAGAGTTAGACATTCGCCAAAGCTGTGTGAAAACCACTGCAAATGGTGTCAAGGGTTAACACTGCTGCCTTACAGAAAAAAAGGCCAAGTTCTGGCTTGAACACATGACCTTTGTGGTTTCGTGACCTTAATGAAGTCAAATGTTTTTGTATTTGGCTATAACTGGTTTAGCGGCTTTTATAAAATTCTGATTTTTTTCAATGTGTGTTTCACAGGATATGACATATCTGTGTATTAATGCGGCTGATGCTTCCAACCAGAACCTGTGAGTACACACACACACACACACACACACACCAGTGTTTTCATATAGACATAATTTCCCCTCGTCCCTCACCTTACCACATAATTATCATAAATATATGTTTAATCCTAATCATTATCTTCCCTCTAATCTGACCCTGACCCTGATCTAATCTGCAACTCCAGACTAGATGCTGAACCTTGAACCCTCTCACTCAGTGTGGGCTGTCACAATGTCCCCACCAGTATAGCTGTACCAGTTACTAACCTACACACATGCATGGATGTGAGTGTGTGTGTGTTTATATGCTGTTTTTCTTGCGTCTCTATTAAAAATCACCACATGGGTTCCTGCAGCTGCGATGACTCAGATGGGTTTCAACACAGTTACCACCAGATGCCAGGGTGTGACACCTCTGCAAACCGCTGCATGTTTTACACACATATGATCAGGGCACACAGAACAGTGAACTTTGTCCTGTTCTGCTAAATCTAAACTGTCCAAAACCAGGACAACCTCTGAAGAGCTGATTGGCATTTGTTCATTGTGCATCCCCCCCCCGCGTGTGTGTGCGACAGAAGACGGCGAGGTGAATATGTTGCAGAAGCGACAGCTCGGTGTTGTAAGAGCAGCATGAGCTGTCCCTCCGCCCTTTGCCGTGGTCACCGTCACATTAGTCACGATAGTTGCGTTAAATCTGTGTAGACTCTACAATCTCACGCAACGGTGGCTGGAGTAATTCTGGATTAAACACATTGACATAGAGAAAGGGCAACAAATAATCCAACACATCGGAGATATCACTTTCAGTTTGAGCTTAGATTCTCGTGTGACTCTCAGATCTGCTGACGATCATTAGACCTTTAAAAATGGTCGGCGCAAAGAGGTGCAAAAGGGCTTTTGCTTTGGCCTAGATACAGATATAGATCGTTCCCCATTGTAAATAGGTACACTTTTTCCTATTTTTATTTTAGGAAATTCCTTAAAAATTGTTGCTTGCACACTAACCGTGACTCAGTGTTGTGCATGAAAAGAACATGAAAAACTGTCTGACGTTCAGGCCTCTCTCTGGTTTATCACTGTGGTGATATGACTGTAGATGGAGATTTAGAGAGAAAACAATCACAGCCCACTCAGTCAAGTGTCAGTGCCTTAAATATCAAAGGCCCGACAGCCCATTGAAGAAAGTCAGTTTCAAGGTCAGGGGTGCAGTGAGAAAACAGTCAAAAAGTTCTGAGACACCTTACAGACATGATCATCTATCTATCTGTTTAATTTTGGTCAAAAATATGCTTTGATATCAAAATGTTTTCATTGGAAATAATCTAGATAAATTAACTTTCCTAAATATGACATCAGACTTATTTGTACTTGGGAGTAATTCAAAATGATGGAATTCTTAAAATGGAAAAAAATGTGAAGATGAATGTGTGTTAGTAGATATAAGTCTTTAATCTGCATCTTCTCAGTGGTTTTTAAGAACGTGTCAAGAGCTGCTTTTAGCTGTCATCAACAATATGAATCGGTCAACGGTACTGCCTCCCTCTCTGTGACGTGAGCCAGGCGTGTGACCTAATGTTGAATCACCCTCCAGAACTTTCTGACTTCTGGCTATTATAATAATATGAACTGGTCACATGTCACACCGAATACCAGTGTCTCTAAATATCAAATAGAAAAATCTCGGATTAGTTCGAATGTCACTGATATTGGTCCACTTAGCCCATTGTTTCCCACAGACTGGGTCGCTGGGTCATTTCACGTCATGTTTCCCAGGAGTTTACGCATAATGTCTAATGACCTGGGTCGCGAAGGTTTGTGACTTTTAAAATATGGGTTTGGGGAACACTGACTTAGCCTGCGTGCTGAAAACTTTGTCGATGTCATGTTTGGGTTTCGGCAGCCTTCCCAGCGCTCTGAAGTCGGCGTTGCTTAAGGTTGCGGAAAAGCAAAGCAGAGCTGAGTGAAAGTAAATGAGAATTGAGGTTTGGTGTGTTCAGTGGTCGAACAGTGCAGATTGGGTCGCTCGGAGGTGTTTGACCCTCCACTGTTGCAATCAAGCCTCGTTCCCTGAGGCTGGCAGCACAGGAAGGAAACCTCAGTGTGACATCTGGCTGTTGGCCCCCGACCACCCAGCGCTTTAATAAACCCCTTCTGTCACAATCACTGGTCTGACTGACACCGACTATGGGGCCAACTGCCGTCCCACCAGCCTCACCACAGGTTGGGGGGCCAGCTGTGCTGACCCCTCCCATAACCGGCAACAAGTTTGTATGTTTTGGAGTTTCGACACGTTCTTTAAATCTGTCATTTATCCAACTGGTTTAAAGATTGTAGCAAGTGACATGATTTTGAATCGTACCATCACAGGTCTATAAACAAGTCATCATTAGATCCAGAATGGCCAACAGTTTTTTGTTTTTTTTTAAGTTTTAACTATGAAACAAAACCATAACCTAAACAGGGGCAGAACCCTTCAACTCAGAGCACAAATTAGATTTCTGGGTTTCCCCTGTACCCCAGCTCCTCTGAACTGTGGTTGTGGTAACAGGGTGTTTTCCCCCTGTGTAATATTTTTTGCACGGCACTTTGATCATTTCTAATGCAACTGTTGTCACTGCACTTGACACAGAGGGAAAGTTTCACTATCCTGTCGGCCAGGTTGTTGTATTTTTTTTTTACTTAGCATAGCATTTTCCTCTAGCTAATTTGTAACCTATTAGTGGCTAACTATTAGCTTTTTTTCTGTTTTCCAAATTGTTTTGAATTTTTTTGTTAAACATGTAGCTGTTTTCAGTTACAATATTTGTTACCTCGCGTTTTAGTTCATTTTAGTACAAATACATACAATATCATTTGTTTTGGCTAATGTTTAGTTTACTTTAGGCTCTTTAGTGCTGGTTCGAATTATCTTTTAATTTATCATTAATCATTTTGTGTCTTCTAGTTTCTTATAAACTTCTGTTTTTTATAAATAACTTTTTAGAGAGAACACTGACTATTAGTTGCCAATTTTGACCAAATCTTATCTAATTTTGGGATCTAATTTTCCCATGTTTTGCTCACTTTAAAGTATGTGTTGCCTAATTTCCATTTGTTATTTAACTGTTTTTTGTAAAGATAATTTTAGCTTTCTTCTCAGCTAATATTCTTTTAGGCTACTGTAGATTTTAGGTTTTTTCTTTTTTGCCCCACTTCCCTTTGTTTTCTGCAATACTGTAAATAAAAACTCTTGTTTTTTTTTCTCTAATTTTCAGGTGCTAGCTAGTTAGCTCTTGAATTTGGGATGTTTTTTTTCTCCAAAATTAATGTTGTACTTTATTTAATCATGTACCGGTCACTTCCTCAATGGTGAGTTTAGGGTCCCTTAATTCAGTTTGTCAAACTTTTTTTTTTTTTACATATTAAACAAGACTAGCCAGAAACCGCAGTGCTGGGAAGACAAACCAAAGTGCTGAGGAGACATCTTTTGAGGAGGAGTTTGGATGTCAGGAAGAAGCAAAAAAAAAAGTCAGTCTATTTTAGCCTCAGTCTGTTATTCTGTCTGCTGTTGAGTAACCAGCATCTGCTCCTCAGGAGACTGTGCTATCAGCCACGCAGCTCCTGATTATGCAAAACACGCATCAGTGTTTCCTGACTTTGAGCAAGAAGGATGTTTGAGGAGCAGATGCACTGTTGGGTTTAATGAAAAGAAAGCACCACTGACTTACTTACTTGATATTGTGAAATATTTAATACAGAGGGAGACATTTAAGTAGTAGCAGTTTCCTTTTTTCCAGGAAACCTGAAAAAGCAATAATGTCAAACTTTAGATCTGGTCGATATTTAATAAATCAGCTCAGTGCTTGAGTTGCTATTCCTAAAACATTGGATCTCAGTTGAAAAAAGATTGGTTGATATTGAAAGAATCAAAGGATTTAGGTTTAAAGAAGACTATCACAGTCCCACACAGAACTGCCACAGAAATATTTTAAATATTCCCAACATTAACTAATATAAGTAAATGACTTATTTTAAAAAAGAGTAATTAGAGCTAATGCTGAAGAGACATCTTCAGGTCAGACAGAAATGGGGCAGTGGTGGCTTAGTGGTTAAGGAAGCCTGTTTGGGTCCGGAAGGTTTCAGGTTTGAATCCACCAGCTGCCACTGAGGTGCTCTGAGCAAGGCACCGTCCCCACACACTGCTCCCCGGGCGCTTAAAGCTGCCCACGGTTCACTTTGGTGATGGGTTCAAAGCAGAGGTCACAGTTGGTTGTGTGCGGTGGTGTGCTGTGTCACAATGACAAGGAGTTCACTTTCTTTCTCTTTCAAATGCGCTCAGAACAACAAGAAAAATGTATTCTGGTGATATGATCATCATCGAGCTGCTTATATTGAGAAAGATGGGAAAATGAGAAAACACATACAGATACAAGGATGACCTTCATATTCAAAGTGACACTTTGAGAAACTTGGGAAGAATTGTTGAAAATGACTTCAGTTTGTTGGAGTAGAGATTGGATTGGACTGAACTTTATTGATCGCACCTTGGGGAAATTGTTGAAGAAACTCCTTGTTTTGTTTTTCCTGTTGATTGCAGTCATTGAACTTAAGAAGATGAGGATGGTTTTGATCCATCGATTCATCCTCTAACCCTAACCCTAGGTTTACGTTGCTAAACTGTTTCCCAGTTGACCAATAGGATCATATCTTGACATTGGTATTTTTGTTTTTGTATTTTTGTTTGTGTGTAGAGAGTGAAGGACAGAAGGTGAGATGTTGTTATGGAGCTGATCAAACCATTAATTCCACACAGAATAAATAAACATCACAAACTGATGTTGTGTTTTCACAAAGACGAAGACAGGCACGTCTACTTCCCTAATCTGGCTAAAGTCTCCGCTCTGGCCGACCACACAATTGTTGTTAACTCAGACCAGACCTTTTTCTCACATGACAATGTTTGTGTGCAAAAAAAGACTTACTACATGACATTTTGTAGATTTTGATTTACTGAGAAAGAAGAAACCCTCACAAAACAACTGAAGAACAATGAGTGGCTGTAGTTACTTCAGACAACCAGGGTGGGAGGGTGGGGGGGGGGGGGAAATCAGAGTTTCAGCAAACTATTTTTAAACAAAGTTTCACTTCAACGTGTCCTTTCTCATATCCTATCAGGTAGGCCGTGTTTGTACGTAAGTGTTAGTTAAAATCTACCTACAGTTTCTACAGTCAACCTGGGATAGTTTTTAGAATTCTATTTTTACATCTGACAATATGTGTGCGTTCATATTTGTTTTGCCCCAATGTCAGGTTTAACTATTACAGTGTTTATAAACCTCATTTTTTTGTCTTATCTTAATACAAAACATTAAATTAAATGTGGTGGAAGTATTTGAGAAAATTGTCTCTGTTTCTTTCAGATTCCAGCATTTTAAAAAATGCATCGGTTTCATCCACCAATGTCGTCTGAATGGCGGAGCTTGCCTCGTCCACTGGTACGTGTTTCTGATTTGGTCACATTTTGTATATTTCAGTCCAAAGCATTGATTGTCTATAAACCCAGTCCTTAGACCATGGTGTCAGCCTCCATATGACAATCCCAATCCCGTTTAGAGGGAAAAAGAATTTAAAATGTGTCAGAAGATCACGCTAATGAGTCAGAAGTGTAACCACTGGACTGTCCAATAAGAATGTTTGCTAGCTACCATTTTGCTTTGTCATCAAGTTCACAACATCAGTTTCTTTTTATAAAACTGCTTAAATTCACGCACAAATAAGACAAAGTGTCATAACTGTCATACCCGGACTTGAACCCGGGTCTCCTGCATCACAGACACAAACTGAGACGTTGCCTCTGATTGAACATCTCTGAAAATAAATCAGAAAAACGTATTTTAAATCAGCATTTATTTGTCATCTTTATAGCTCATATCACAGTAAATAGTAAAATATGTTCAATTTGATTTAGTTTCTTCAACTCGGACCGTCTCGGAAAATCTTAACCTTGTTTTAGTTGGTTTATATTTTCTATATCCTAATATTTTCTCTTCTTACTGGTTTTCCTGTCTACACTATTTCAAGCGTGGCCTCCTCTGAGGCTGAAAAAGCAGTCCTAGTATTTCTTCTGTATTCTCGAGTCCTCTGGTAGCTGATGAATAGATACTCGCCCAAGTTCCTGCTTCAGTTCCTGTGGTGTAAATATATAATTCTAAACAACCCAAATCCTGCGCAGCCTGGCAGGTGTGTCTCGCAGCACCACCATGGTGGTGGCCTACATGATGACCGTGACCACCTACAACTGGGAGGAGTGTCTGTCTGCCGTCAAAGCTGTTCGCTCCTTCGTGGGCCCCAACTCTGGCTTCCAGCAGCAGCTGCGGGAGTACCAGGAGACATGCCTACCAGAGGTACATGCACAACACGGTGTGGCACGCACAGTAACAAAGGAAAGATTCAGCTCCCGTCATTTCCCTCTTTTACATGTCGTGTCTCTACATCCCCTTGGCACGAACAACGCCAATGTGCACACGCATGGTTTCACAGGATATGATTCATTCAGTCTGGTGCGAAGAATGTTGTTTGTACATTTTATACCAATAACTTATACCAATAACCGAGCATGAAAACTTTGCCCGTTTTCATGCGGCTCTTACGTTCATGTCGAATTTGATTTGTTTGTGGGTTTTTTTACACTTTGTGAATCTCATGGCGATGGGTGTGGACGCAAATTACTTAGGGAAAACCCAATTCGTACAGATGAAAAGATGTACGCCTTACGTATGTAAGGTTTAAAAGAGTCGGAGAGTTTTTTTTTTTTTTTAAAGGATGGGGCAGTTCATGTGTGCTCATGAATATCATGTGGCTCTTTGCAGTAACAAGGTAAAAAATTGTGGCTCTTTGCCTCTTGACTGGTTGGTCAACCAACCATCTGACAAATCTACAAAAGTAGAAAAGTTTTTCATGAGTAGATTTCCCTTTATTGTGCAAATCAGTGAAAAATAATTTAACACTGAAAGACATATATATTTATGTCTATATATGTATGTATAGACTGTATATATAT